TCTTTCCCATACCCATCTTAGCTCCACACATCACAATCTACCCCCTCCTTCCTGCCTACCTGCACCATGCACTGAACATCACACTCCCAAGCAGCACAGGCACGGCCTACTGGAACCTGCCCTGCACTGATTCCCAGTCCACACTGTCAGCCCTGGTACGTGACACTAACAACCCGTCCCAGCAACTCCCCTTCAGCTGGACCTGCCCTGCTGTACCATACCTGAGTGACTGACCTTGCCCATTGGAGAAGGAGATAAAAAGTATCCTGTCTACAGACAAGCGAACAACAAAGAACGCATAGCCTGCCTGCTCAGACATAACCAAAGAAAACAAAAAAGGAGGAGGAAACAAACAAATCTACAATCAATAAATGAGGAAAATAACCACTGAATGCCCTGAAGACAGGAGACAATATCAAAACATTTAAAAAAACAAGGCAGGATGGTTCCAGTAGGTACCCAAAATAAAACATGAGATTACCTTCCAGTAGAAGAAAAGGCACTAGACCTAACTGATAGGGAATTCAAATCTCTAATATTCAGAATTACCCAAGAATCAAAGCAAAAAGCAGACAAAAATAAGGAAAAAAAAGACAAATTTATGGAAAAGGCAGACAAATTCATGGAAAATACAAAAAATGGAAGAATTCAAGAAAGTAATACAGGACTAAACTGCTAAAATAAATTCACAACTAGAAATCATACAAGAATAACAATTAGAAATCCGGAAGATAAACAACAAGACTTCAGAAATGGACAGTGTCATAGAACGGCTGAGGAGCAGGTTTAAAATGATGGAAGATACAATCAGCAAAATTGAAGACAAACACTTGGATACAACTCTGAGGAAAAATCAGAAAAAAGAATGAAGAAAAATGAAGAAACCCTGAGAATTACGTGGGATACAATCAAAAGCAAAAATCTGTGCGTGATCAGAGTTCCAGAAGAGGGGGAGAAAACAGAAAACACAGAGAGGATCACTGAAGAATTGCTGATAGAAAACTTCCCCAATATCATGAAAGATGAAAAGCTGATCATCCAAGAAGCTCAACGAACCCCATGTAGGACAGAACCCAAAAGAAAAACACCAAGGCGTATCGTAATCACACTCACTAAAACCAAAGACAAAGAATCCTGAGAGCAGCTTGAGAAAAACAAAAAGTCACATACAGGGGAGAAACAATAAGACTAAGCTCGGATTATTCGGCAGAAACCATGCAGGCAAGTAGGCAATGGGATGACATATATAAAACCTTGAAAGAAAAAAATTTTGAGCCAAGAATAATATATCCTGCAAAACTCTCATTCAAATATGATGGTGAAATTAGGTCCTTTCCAGGTGAACAGAAATTAAAGGACTATGTAAAAACCAAACCAAACTTACAAGACTTATTAAAGGGAGTCCTTCGATCAGAGAACAACATACATCAGACCACAGGCTGAATATAGGACACAGGATTGCACTAGCCAGATACTAACCTAGGAAATGAACTCTTAAGGAATATGTAAAACCAAAAGAATTACAATAGGGAACCAGAGAGGTTAATCTGTAAATGACAACACCATCAGAACAATAAAAGAGGGAATAAACGATGTAGATATAGAACCTTCTAATGGAGAGGAAGGCAAGGCCATACCAAGTAATTACAGACTGGTTCAAATCTAGGAAGATAAGGGCAAATTTCAAGGTAACCACAAATAAAGTTAACAAACCTGCTCATCAAAATAAAGAAAAACAAAACCTACAAAAACAAAAGAAATAAAAAAAATCCACAAGCAAAAGGAACTCAGCACAGGAGAGTAAGAGGAACAAAGAAAATGTCAGCACCACCAAAAAA